ACTAGTCAATTAGAATAAAGCTTTCGCGGCATTTATACTGGCGGTATATGAGTGACAAAGGAGTTGCATCTGGCAATTGCGCGGGCTGCTACGTGCCATAAACTGCTGTGTAGGAGCTCCTTACAACTGACAAAAAACATTCCCGAAGCTGGAACCATGTCAAGAGGCCGAGGCAGGGTTTAGGCTCAGTGCAGCTTAGGGATGTGTACTGAGATATCTACATGAAGCACGGGAACGGCATGGACATGTACCAAAGCTACACACCTTAACATAGGGGTCCAGGAGAAGGACCCAGAATGTTTGGGAAGCACCATAGGTCAATCAAACTGAGAAACCTAAAACCTGAAAACCCCAAAGTTCTTGTCCTGGGGCAGAATTAGGAGAATCCCCTTCCACCCCTTTTATGACTTTGCAGAACACGTCTCCAACAATTATTGCTTGGGTGCTGCCCCCACCCTGTAACAGTCTATATTAGAGGTCATATTAAGGGCTAGATATATATATATATATCTGTATTATGAATAAGTTATCCAACTGTTACAGAGTGCGGGGGCCTGCCCAAAAGATTGGCTACATTGTTCTAAGATGTTCTAAGAAAATGTTCGGCGAGTCCAAGTCACGCGGGGCTCGCCATGGACTTCGACGGTGTTTAAGGACACGGCGATACCCTGATCCTTACAGACTAGGATTTAGGGGTTGACAAGAGTCTAGGGTTCTGGCTTAGGGATTCGCTACAAAAAACACATTCGAACGCCACAAAAAAGCATGGGAGGCTGTGGTCAGAGTTGTGGGACCGACGCAGAAATTACAATCCGCCAGACTAAACCTTCAGCCAAGGGTTTGGGGTTTAGGGTGTGTTCAAGATACGGACACAAGCCCAAACCCCACTGCTTCTCGAGCAATCCGGCTCATCAGAAACCTACCGATGCTCAAGGCGGGGTGGAGGAGGGCATAGAAGTAACTAAACCTAAACTATAAACCCACAACCCTGAACCCTAAACCCCGGACCCTAAACTAACCCTGAACCCAGAACTCTTAACAAGAAAGACAACTTGCGGCCCAGTGACGCGGGCAACATTCTTGGCAAGCTGCCAGCTTGCGAGGGCAACTGTCTGACCTAGCCCAATTCCAAAAAATTGGGGTTTAAGTATTTAAGTTTGAGGAAACTTTAACAGGGGTTACAGGGTACACAGGAACATATACGGATGTATGAGGTTGACTGTGGCGATTTTGGCTTAGGATTTCCAAGAAGTTGGGCTCCCGTTTTACCAGACCCCACCAGAAGGATCGGCATATGGTGGTGTTTATAAAGTGGTTCAGAATAGGACAGCGCAGAGATACTCAAGGCATTTGGAAATTTTCATTTAAGAGCCTCCTGAAGTCTCTTCGCGCTGGTTTGGCAACGCAAGCAGACATGAAAGATGAATACGCTCCTCTTTCACTGCAGGTAGACATGTCCATCATGTTTTTGCAGCAAGATCAGAGGGTTTATTTTTGGAACCCCATTATAGTACGGTGCAGCTGAGTAACCAGGATCCTCGAAGGGAAGCAAGTTCGCCAAATGCGCAAATGTGGGACTGGTAGCTGCAGTCCCAAGTTCTAGCAGAGCACCTGAGCAGGGCTTTATTTTTGCGAGTACTAATATAATATAGTACAGTATGAGGCTGTATTCTTGGGATAATGGAAAAGAAAATGGAAACTACTAGAGTATGTTGGGGTTATATTGGGATAGCAAGTTTAGATTCTTCTGTTAACGTGCTGTACTCAAGGGGAAAAGGTAAGCTGACTCCAAATTGGGAGGGATGATAATCCCATCCAAAGGTGCTCACCCGGATTGGGAGTTCGGGGTTTAGAGGTTCACAGACCCTCGGGGGCTTGAGAGCTTTGGGCTTGTGGCCCGTTGGTATGGGGTTTGTTAACGCCTTCCCAGTGGCAGTTACTCCCAGAATGTCTGTGGCAGAGAACAAAATTCTCCGACCACCTTGCGCCTGTGGCCCAACACCCCTTGATGACACGAAGGTTGGATCGCTGGGCCGCTGGCACGTGCTTGGCTGTTACGCAACAAGCGTTTCAGACGAATATCACAAACACGAACGGCCTGTCAAGCTACATAGCCAACTAACTAAAACTCCATGCAAGCTCTCAGGAACCAATATGATAAACTACCCAACTACACAGTCCAGCTCAGGTATTCACATCGTACTGCCAATTGCAGGAACAGGCGCCGAAGCAGCAACATTGACTGAAACGCATCGGAAACCCGACGCGGAAATCACATGCTGCTGGCGCATCGCTCTGTGGAAGGAAGCCCTTAACAATGGATCTGGAAACTAGGCCCCCAATTTCATACCCTGCTCTACTGTTATGCATTGTTGAGGATCGGTCGGAGCTCTTATTCATTCTAGATCTATCAAGGGTTGGAGAGCGCTGTGACACGGGAACGACTGTCAGATGTGGGCTAGGTATACAAATACAGTCATATGGGTGGTTGTCAAAATTATGGTCCCTTTTTGGGTACCCTAACTATTAGGTGCCGTATTGAAATAGGGAACCAAAAAAAAAGGACCATAATTTTGACAACCACTCATATACCCTTCGCGGATTTGGGTGTTTTAGTCCGTTTTTTGGTGTTCCCATAAGAAGCATGCTCATTCCTGGAAATTCCAATTTAAGTGGTAATTTTACAAGTTGGGGGTCCGCAAGCACTGGCATCCTCACAGGACTCATTCAAGTGGAGAAGCCTTAAACTCTTTGAACGTCAAGCCCTCAGATCCGATGGCCAGGTTTTGAGGATGCAGTTCCCAGCTAGACCCTAGACAAACCGACTAGTACCTTTTTAAGGTCTAATAGCCCGCAGGGCGCAGGGCGGGTTTAGGGCTCAGGCTTAGGATCTATAGGGCTTCGGGTTTGCAGCGAGAGTTGGGGTTGTAGGTTGTAGGCTGGTCTGGAGGACTGGAATGGGTCTGTCCTTTCCTAAGTGAAGAGCAGAAAGGGCTGCAGGTTGAACATGCCTCAACCATGCCCCCATCATGAAATGGCAGGCGGTGTATGCCTCATCATGAACTTCAAGGGTACAGGGGGTTTATAGGGTTTAGGGGGTTTAGGGTTATTGAATCTCATAGTAAACTCTTCTGCTGAAAGTCAGCTTTGCTGTACGCTCCCCACCTTAGCTTCCAAAGTTTAGGCCTGCGTGCGCACCTTAACTGTCACCTACATGGGTGGTTGTCAAAATTATGGTCCCTTTTTGGGTACCCTAAATATTAGGTGCCGTATTATAATAGGGGCCCAAAAAGAGACCATAATTTTGACAACCACCCATATACATCCAACCACGGAAAGGAAATCACAGGTCCAATGTAGGCCCCGGAAAACATGCCAAGATCACGTCGAGGTCGATTTGAAGTACCCTCTACCATAACTACACAAGTCATGTGAGCCATAGTCTAAACTCCTTAGGGTGTATATATAGGGGATTATATAGGGGACCATTTTATAGGGGGCATTAAGGGGGATACTAGGAGATGTAGAATCATAGTATTGGCAAGTATGTGGCCTCTACGGTACAATGTTTGGACGTTCGCCTGGGTCTCCAAGAGCTGGGTTTGACTCAAGGTTTTGGCAAGTTTGCTGATGGCTCCAGAAGGTTGCGCACGTGATGAAGTGATCACTTCTAAGTACATCTGGGTTCTTGGAAAATCTCAACCGTGAAGCTTGATTAAACCCACCTACACCTCTCACCCCCTATCACGCGTCCTTGTTCTCTCTCTCTCTCTCTCTCCTCACGTGGCACATGCGTCGCAAACACCAGGGCACCTGTTTGGGTTAGAAACCTACCGTCAAACCCTCAAGCTTCTAATGAGAACGGACCCTGCTGCTACACTCTGGGAAGAAGGTAACAAGCGCAGAGTCCCAAACATTGATGCCCATCCAGAAGTTGGACTACAGCTACAAGCCCGGTGAAGCGTTCGGCCGCACTTTGTTAAGACTTCAACCGCACGGGCTGAATGTCTGGCCGCGACTCCATCGCCCGCCGCTGCTTCTGCTTCCACACCTGAGTAGCTACAAGAACCTTAGGAGAGCCCAATAGCTCGTAATTGAGAAGTATACCCTAAATTATACTAGGATCCCTAATACGATTCAAGCTATATTCCGTAATTAAGGGGTATTTGTTCTCTCTGGGTTAATAATTAGCTGGCACTGGAGGAGCGCCAGACGTCTCTATGACAAGGCCCACGCAAGTCAAGGGCAACACACGACACCCCACTCCAACAAGGGCCTAAATAATTACCTTGAGGCCTGTTTGGCGGACCCATCATACAAGGAAACTATGACCATACTCTTGGTAATTGCTTTGGCTTCTACATTCCTGTACTAGTAAGTCTATGAGATTGGATGCTGGCTCTATGGCACTTACCGGATCAATGACCTGGCAAAACACACCAGGTCAATACAGCAGTCTACCAGGTGGAGAGCTTCCGTATTCTGGATTGCTGTTAAGGAGCCTAAGTTAAGCTACTATGATAAGGAAATCCTATTGCTTAGTATATACCGTTCACATACCCATATTATGATAACTTAGTTTAACGTCCTTACCAGCAACCCAGCATTTCGAGGCGCACAGACAGGGCAAACATCCCCCCAATGGGGCAGCGTTGAAAGAGTCGCCGGCGCAGACCTGGCACAAGTACGAATACTTGTCAGCTGACAGAACAATGCGAGGCATGCCCACAAGCGGAACAACAGTCTAACACACTGCACAATTTGCTGCGATCAACCCGCTAGTGTTCGACCACCAGGCAACACTTGCTGAATCAAGCTTGCAGAAGGAAAAACAAGCCAGCTAGAAATGCTGCTTTTGCGTCTGTTTTCCGCCGAAACTGAATACTCTGTCTTGGAATGATGCCTTGTGTGGGCCTGAAGAAGGCCATTGCGCACTTTGGAGCAGCTGCCATCTCCTCACACAAGGTTTTGGAAGAATCGCATTGCTCTCGACATCTTGGTCAAGTCCGACACACAGGACAAAGCATGTTCCTGCCCGCGCGGCTGCTGCAGTAGTCACCCCAATGATCCCGGCACATGTAATGGTGACCCTGGCATCCTGGTGTTCTGACTGGTGCAATGACGCCGCTTCCTTCCTCTAGGCAGATGCAGCAAAGTCGATCTGGCTGGTCAGGAAGCTCGCCTACTACCTTGTCAGACAATGCAACCATCTCGTCAAGCTTTTGGCAGAAGGCGTCATTTGGCACTGTCTCAAGAACTGCTGCCATGCTTTTGACTTGCTGGATGTGGGTCAAAGCCTTGTCGGTCACCGGGGTGAAGCAAGACTCGGTCCAGGTGAAGTACAAAATCAGAACCGCAAAGCTCCCGACCACTACCCCTACAGCAACTCCGCCCGCGGCAGCGGTCAGTAATGCAGCCATTCCTTTCACCAATCCAAGGTAGTAGATAGGTTCAGCGATGAGTGCATAACCTATCCAGAAAAGCCCTGCCAGCGCTCCGCTGAGAATCCCAACTCCAGCTGCTGCATCCTCCAGGTTCTCCGTGACCCAGCGCTTGATCTCGTGGATTTTCATGGAGAACCATGAGTTCTCAACCCCAAGAACCTTGTACATCTGAACTTCCATCATGGTGAGATGAACAGTCATTTTGGTGAACGTCTTACCCATCTCCTCTCTGCGAGGACATTCATCCAGGGTCTCGAACTCTTGATAGATGGCCAACTCTTTCATCTTGTACAACTGCTCAGTCTTCTTATACATCTCGATGACTCCGTTGATAAACTCAAGCTTGTCCTTGAGCTCCATTCTCTCCTCGTCGGGGCTCGAACAAGTGAGCTCAATCTGCCGCTTCAGAAAATTCACCTGCACATTGATCAAGATTCAGGACCTGTATATAACCTCCCGTTACCCGAACTCATTTTCACAATTCGGGGACCCGTGAACTTTGGGAAACTGGCGCCTCGGTCTTCAGCCTGGTGGCTGCAAGGTCGGAGTGCCTGAGCTGATTGCGGAAAGCATCCAAGAGCGGGTCTGTCATGGCGGCAAGCTACCCGCTAGCTCAACTAGCTCAACCTTGATCCAACTGGCTACGCAAATTCAAGCAAGAGCCTTTGAAACTCACAGCTTCTTTCTGACAAGGATCACTGGCAACATACACTCCACACTGCATGCTTCCCAAAAAACATGCACGGCGCACCACGTCAAGATTGGCTCGTTGTCCGCCCAAATGTTGCCATGTGGAGAGGGAGGTTGATCACCAAGTGCTCATTGATTCGTTTCGGTTCTATGCTCCAATTGAAAACCAATGCCTGATGGACAACCTGCCTGATCACACTGAAGGTACACGCATGCAAGCACTCAATGCGAACTCCAGGTACCCCTTGAAAGTGATCTAGTTAGGGTACGCAGGGGCCTAAGCGTAGCGTAGTTGCCAAACAAGATGCCTCAGAACGTCTTTCCAAAACAAATGGGAGCTTTGTTTCGCACATGGCTAGCATGTAGTGATCCCAAGGATACATGAAGGAATACACAAGGATCATAAGAGACACACTTGGGGACTTACTAGTTGTGTTGAGAAACTCCCAGATTTCTTGCGTACCCTGACCAAGAAGGATCCACCCTTTTTGCAAAGTACGCAAAAAAGTACATGTCCACAAAGCCCAACACCCCTTAACTACGGAAACTACTTCCACTGACATTAGGATACCCTGCCATGATCTAAGTTATAGTCCTTAATTCAGTGATATTGGGGCCCCCTGGGTGTCTGCTAGGTCCGGAGTGCAGCCAGGAGACAGGGTAGGCGGATTCCTGGGTTGCTGTTAAGGAACTTAAAATTGGGGTTATATTGGGAGAATGGAAAATAAAATGGAAACAACTACATTGTAGTAGGGTATATATTAGGGTTATACTGGGATTATCTGGGTTGCTGTTAAGGAACTTAAAACTCAGTTACCATAATGGGCATATGTGGTAATTAAAATGGTTCACCCCAATCTAGTAACTGAAATTAAGGTTCCTAACCCTAAACCCTATATCACCCCCGAAAGACCCGCATTATAGTAACTTCTATTAAGTTCCTTAAGCCCCTAGATTCCCCCAGTTTCCATTTCATGTTCCATTTGATTCTCCATTATAGGGGATAATATCCCTAATCCATAAACCCTATATTATACCCCTTAACAGCACTATAGGGGAATAATGTAGCTTAAATTAAGTTCCTTAACAGCAGCCCAGATTCCTCGTAGTGGCCGCAGGCCTGGCCGAGAGGCTGCAAGGGGAGTTAGGGGCATTGTGGATATGTTGGGTTTAGGGTTTGGGGTTTAGGGTTCGGGGTTTAGGGTTTAGGGCTTGGGGTTTAGGGTTTAGGCTTGGGGGTTTAGGGTTTAGGGTTTAGGTAGCAGGGGGATTGGGTATATATTGGGATAATGGAAAAGAAAATCGAAGCTACTATTTAGGGATTAGAGCTCAGGGTTAGGGATAAGGGGTAATTGATGGGGATATATTGGGACAATGGGAAAGAAATGTTACGGTTTAGGATTTGGGGTTTTAGGGTTTGGAGCGTTAGATTTGTCGGGAGTTTGAAAAAAACTGAGGCCTCCCTTAAGGAGGGTTTCCATGATAAGGCCTTTATTATTTGGTAGTTTCCCAAAATGCGGGGACCCCAATATAGACCTCAAAATACTATAATCCTTATTATGGGGACCCCCAATAAGGTACCCCCAATTATAGGAAACCCCCATTTAGTGACTGTTACATTTGGTCACCGACTTGAGCTCACTGGTATTTTTGCTTAGGGCTCGCGAGAAGGTGAGTGATGGCTACAGAACCTGTGCACCTGTTAGCCTCATTTTCACTGCCCTGAACCCTAAGCCCTAAACCCCTAAACCCCTAAACCCCTAAACCCTAAACCCTGAACCCTAAACCCCAAATCATAAACCGAAAGCCCTGGGCCTCGACTCTATGATTGTTTAACCATGGGCCTCTGCGATCCCAATTCCAAACCCTACTGTAAAAACCCCAGTCACGACCCATGAGCTTCATTACAAAAACCATTCGTAAAGGACGGGAGCCCTACATAACCTTTACACCCTATATACCCTATGTACCCTATGTATCCTATGTACCCTACATACCCTATGTACCCTATTTATACACCCTATATACCCAACATACCGCATATACCCTATGTGCCCTATATCCCTAAACTCTAAGCCCATGTACCCATCATATAATTATTCAGTAACTTGAACTGAGTTCCCCAACAGCAACCCAGGAAAGGCCTGGAGCACGGCTGGGGGCTCAGGTTGCCTGGTGAAGAGCAGCTGCTTCCGAATTTTCTCATCCTGTTGCGGGCTTGGAGTTTAGGAGTTAGAGTTTAGGGTCTGTAGCTGTAAGCCCCCAGACCTATATCAAAGACAGTACAGTAATTCCTTATAAGGTTGTACTAGAATACAAATACATGAGTACATACGCTTCTGAAAGGGACTAGAGGTGTAGGGGCCTTAGGGGTTTAAGTTTAAGTTCTCGTAGCCGAACTAAACCCAAGTCTAGGACGGCTTCGAGATTGGGGTCCTGGGAATGAAGGTTAGGATGAGAGAATGAATTCTAGGACTGTGGTTGGGGATCATATAGGGTTTAGGGTTTAGGGTGCTACGCATCAGGTAGAACAAGGTTTTGGCGGCTTTGCAGCGTTCCTGTTTAAAGGTGGTTAGCAATCCAAGAGGAGAAGCAACCACCTACACTGTGAACATTGAAAAAGATGAAGCCTGCCGCAACGTAGAATTGGCCAGGATAGGTCTCAATATGTCCCAGTAGCTTAAGAGATTAGAATGAATATTGTCTGTAGCTGCCTTCTAGTATGGGCCCTCACCGCATCGTAGCTTTTAGTGTGAGACCCTTTGCAACGTGAGCCTGCGCGTGTATTGTTAGAACGGAAACGCGACTATCTGAAAAAACTCAGCTGGATCTCATGAAAGCCCTACGAAACCAGCATCATTATAGACGCACCTGAGTTTTGCTAAGACCAGGAACAGCTTCATACCAGCCAGCTTTCGCTTTCCGACCCTGGATCCACGCTCCCATAGACCTTCATCCCTGATGCCGGAGCCCTTGCCATCATGCTCCTGCCTGCTCATAGAGCGGCGTCCGGATATCCTGCAGGCAGACATCAGAGCACGGGACTTCAAGTTCAGTGCTTCTTGAAAGCTTTGGGTGAGCATCCGCTTAGCTGGCATGAGGCTCATCTTATCCTTGCCCTCTGGGAGTCCACAAGCGAGTCTGGATGGTTTCCTTGCGAGCACGACTCACGCACAAATTGATGTCCCTACGTGCTACAAAACCTCTCTCCCTCTCCAAAACCTCTCTCTCCCGCGCACAATCCCAGAAGAACTTGCAAGAATCAATCTTAGGTGCCATACGACCAAGCCCGAAACCAATTTACCTACGTGAGAAGCCTTCTCCCAAAACTCCTTCCACATGTCTCGTTATTATAAAAGCTCTCGGTATCTCCTGTTCGAATAATTTGTACGTTTGGGGATACAGCACCACACCTCCAAGTCGAGCGATGGGTTCTGGTAGAAGAGGGCGAACCTGTCAGCTTGTTAACAAAGGAAGCCTCGAACGTTGTGCACGGTTTGAGGCTTGTGGCGGGCATGCGTATGAGATAAAGAATGCCAGGTATACCGGGTGTACTAGAGCAAGGCAAAAATTGATAAGATGTGGGGAACTAAGCGAACTCCTGGCTTCCGCAGCTTCGAACCCTGCCGGAATGTCGCAAGAAGTCTTGTTTGGAGGTTTACCTCCGTTTCACGACTCGTTCACCTTTCCTTGCATATGCTTAGCTCAATTACAACTAAGCGTGATTTCTCATTTGAAGCACGGTGCCTCTTAGCACTGGTGCGACTAAATTGTCTTCTTCCTAGATTTCGCGCTACCTCGAAGATCCTGAACCTGAACTCCTAAGCTCGCAGATTGAACCACCTACAAGGCAGAACTGCAAAGCATCAGTGAGGTAAGTGCCCGGCAGATCCATGTACTCGCCGGTCACCTTTGACCACAAGTGCAGGCCAAACAGAAGAAAACTGATCAAACCGGGGAATACCCAAAGAATAAAGAGGGCTGCATGGGTTTAGGGTTTAGGGTATGATGTCTCTCTCGAAGCATTATATACTCAGTGCGCATGCAGGGAATGGACGGAGTCTGAGCTATGGCACACCTTGCATGTAGGAATGTCCCCTGAAACCAACCGCAGGTTACCTTGAAGCCCTGCCGAAAGAGTAGAGCTTACCGCTCAGGGTTTAGGATTTCTGGTTTGTAGGGTTTAGGGTTTAGGATGAGGGTTTAGGATGAGGGTTTAGGATGAGGGGGTTGAGGGTTGAGGATTTAGGGTTCAGGCTTCTAGGCTTCAAGACCCTCCACCAATTCCTGGTGAAATCTACACGTGTGTGCAGTGAAGCAAAGCAGACAACTAAAATGATAACCAGGGCTCTAAAAGCCTTTGCTGCATGCAATGGTGGACAGGGAATCCCCAAATCAGGGATACCTTTTTGGGGGATCAGGATGGGTCAGGGATGAAAAGCCATCGGTAGAAGCAGTTTAAGGGGGACCCCAAAGAGTGGGAACCTCAAAAATAGAGTGGGAATATATCACGGGAATATAATGAAGGACCCCGGTAAGGCCCTAGTAGGTGCATTCCTATGACATTCCCCTATATTCTTGGGCATGCCCATTAAACTCCTATTAATCGAGAAGACCATGCCTTGAACAATAAATCTGAATGTCCGCAATAGCGGTCTTTCCTCCCTCATACATGGTCGAAATTAAAAAATCACGGTCGTCCAAACTGGAAACAAAACACATGCTCTCACCAATATTTCTTTAGGAACACTAGATACACTCACCAAAAGCCCTTAAAATCCCCCCTCACATATCAAACTCTGCGCCAATGAGTTTAGATAGCTTCCGACGCGCAAGCCAAGAATTATCACCGCCAATTCTCTAGCACCTTCTGAAAGAACTTCGCGAATCTGTGATACCCCATCAAAAGCTCTCCTGCGAGCAACCCAAATCTGAAATAATGCCTGTGCACTTTGTCGTTGAATCATTGCCGAAGATATTTTGGCGGTACAGCTGTGAAACATGTAACGTAAGAAAATGAAGTACTGCCCTGAAAGGAACTCCAACGATCTGTTTCAGCTGCTGCTCATCGACATGCAGGACCCACGGTTTAGGGTCAGGGCTAGGGCCTACAGCACCATTGGTCAGCAAGGGGCTGCGATTTCTGGATCCACACCACCAAGCCCGTCTAGGAAGTGGTAAATCACAATCTTCTCCATGTCACCTGGTGCAAGCTTCAGCTAGCATGGCCCTTCTGCCGCACATATTTTGGGAGGTTCGCCTGAACTTCAAAAGCCTGAACCTAAAGGACACTTTCATATAAATGCCATGTCCGATTGTGACGGCTAGTTGCTGTCACTTGCCCATGTCCTCTGTACTCCCTATCTACCTCAGCCTAGGCAAAGCTACAGGTATACATGCGGGGTTGGGAAAAACATGGTCTTTTGTCGGGTCCTCAGCAGAGCCCCATATTCGGGGTACCCCAAAATACCCCAAAAGGACCATAAGCTTAAAAACATGTCACATGCAGCCTAAGGCCTAAACCCTAAACCCTTTCCTGGTAGGGATTAAGGTCTTCGCCCCGCCTGTCCAACCTTGCTGAGTGGCATCGTAGACGGTGCCTTGATGCATCCGCAGCGGGAAGCTTGCTGAGTTTTAGAGTAATAGAGTCTGTAGGGTTTGCAGGAATCTGAATCATGGACGCGCTCAAAACCTGTGGCTGAACTGAGGGCTTCAGGTTTGACCTCAAGCGTTTTCAAGCCTGTCCTCTTTACAATCTTGTTTGAAAGATCAGGCTGTCTTGCGCATGCAGCATGACACTCCATTACCAACCGGGAGCAAAGCCAGAATCTGTACAAGCAATGTGAGGCCTCACACATGAACATGCCAAGGTCCTAGTTTTCCAAAGTTAGGGGCTCCAATTTAGAATGAAGGAATACGCCCAAAACCGACCTTTCGTATGCAAGGATCTTGCCGTCCTACTACTCAACTCCCTCCTTTCGGAGCTCCCTGTTGGGCATTATTCGGCGCCGCACACAGACAACAACCACGAAGCACAAGTCAACGTTGACAACTGCTCATGTTATCAAAGGAGGAGGCATGGGTCCTATCCTGTCTACCCTGAAAAATTCTAAAGTTCTAGGTCTATGCAGTCTACCATGAGTGTAGAAGGAGTAAAACGTAGACATCTTCATAAACATCGATTGACATCTCCACAAGGCCAAGGATGTATGATTTTGAATTAAGTCCTGTAATAGATACCAATATGATTTTGTTCTATTGGTAACCCTAAGCCCTAAACCTTAACCCCTGAGACCCAAACCCCACCCAACAACCCTGAACCCTAAACCCCAAACCCTGAGATTTAAAACCTCTACACTTCAGTACATACCGCCATTCCTGAGGACAAAAACAGGGCTGCTTGAGGAACTCCCTTCAGCTGCCAAGAAGCTCGTTGCGAAGCTGTTCACCGAGTCTAGGAATGCCTTGCCGCTTGAATAGTTTAGAGTTTAGGGTGTAGAGTTTAGGGTTGAGAGTTTAGGGTTTAGAGTTTAGGGTTTAGGGCTTAGGGTTCAAAGTTTAGGCTTTAGGGTTCAAAGTTTAGTGTTTAGGGTTGAAAGTTTAGGGTTTAGGGTTTAGGTTTAATGTTCTCCCCCTAATATTACATCCCCCCCACCTTCCCTAACATTAAATACTCCCAATGTACAATAATAATACAAGAAGGGAATTTTTAATATTAGCGGGGGTGGTAATATTAGGGTGTATTAGGGTGAAGGGATTAAATCCTACCTGGGCCCCCAGATTTGTAGAACAATGGTCGTTTTACTGTATATGTGCTTTGGGCCGTTATTCTGCACATTGTTTGGGAATAACTGGAAAGAAAGTTGCTACAAGGTGCAGGATCAGGGATGGGGGTGGGGCTTGTTGACAGTCAATGGGATGATACCCTGATCTCCATACAGTTTAGTTTGCTTACGCCACCTACACAGGTTACATTCTATCACGTCATGCCGTCTGGGAACACCTCCTGTCTGGAAACGATGGGCGTGGGGTCACGAAGAACGTGGTTTCTGTGCAGGTTGTCCTGAAGCTCAAGTCATGGAGGTCATGGTACGGGGATGAAGTGGGATGAATTTGCCGTTGGCACTTTCTCTGCATATGATCATTGCATGCAGGCTTTGGGCAAGAGGAGGCTGAAAAATCAGGAAAAGGCAGCCAACTAGGAGAAACAATATGCATGTGACTCTCGTGATTCCCACAGTGCTGAAGTTCTGTTATGGCCAGAGCCAAAAGACCCTTACCAAGGAGTGCAAACCCTGGGAACGTGCAGAAGAGCAAACCCCAAACGCTATGCGGCTTACATGCGTCCAAGTTGCCCATCGAGGCACGGTGCCGACGGGATTTCCATAGAACTCGTTCCAGTTGACATCCTTCCGGACTTCAGGTTTTCGTTAGAATCAGGTTTTAGGGCTTAACGTGTAGTCCCCCTTAAGTAGATAGAATATGGGGTACATGGGGATCTTATTATAACATACCCAAAGCCATATTCTATCTACTTCAGGGGGGCTATAGGGCTGAGGGGCCCTTGGGGTCAAGGGCCTCGAATCCCCGCCCGGAAGCGTGAGGCGGTTCGGGCTGGCTACCGCTCTCTGAAGCTTCAAGTTTCCGATCACTGGTTACGGGCACAGAGCTTGAGAAGAATCTCTACGGACGACCTGGAGGGTCAGGGGGACTTAGTAAGTAGCTTAATAAACCTTATAGCCAGCTCCCTTATCAACCTACTTACGATTTCCCCCTCACCCTCCAAGTATCACCATTTGAACTAGATAACATGGGAACCCTTTCAGCCAGGGTTCAAGGCTGCAGCTCAAAGAGCTTGGGCCGAATGTGTGTTCCGGACAAGCACCGCACGGGTCCCTCACGGTTAAGACTTGGAGGCGCACGAACAGCACCCAGCTCCTAGACAAGACCTTGGACGTCATAGATGTGGGTGTTCCTCAAAACAGGGACACCTCAAGCACCCCAGGGATATACGGGGATCATTGGGTTCTCATGGTAAACCAGGTGAGCCTTATGCACAGTAATAAGACAGAAATTACGGAGGCCACCAGTAAAACCAGCGCCTTGTTCCTTTTAAAGATCCCTACCAAAACATTACCTGACTCCCTCCACATCTCATATCCCACTGGCACAAAGAAATTACTAAATGGTACAGCCAACACCAGCAGACTGGAAAGCCTGAAGCCTTACCTTTCCATTGCAAGGTCCATTCTATTTCCCGCTTGATTCTCCGTTATTTGGGTAACATCCGCCTAGATAATCCCATAGGAACCGCTTTCACAAAACCTGTATGCAAATCTTAAACCCTGAGCTGTGACTTGCAAGGCCAACACATGCCAAATGCTGAACTCTGCACACTTCCCGCACCGAACCTTAGTGAGCCCTCTGAAACCTTGTTTTACAGCCGTGCGCCTCAAGGCCCATCATGCCAGCAAACCTCGGAGCTAGGTCAAACGCATCAAGAGTATGGCTGTGGATTAGGGTTTAGGGTTTAGGGGTTTTGCAACTTGCTTCACAACAGCCAGCCGTAAGCCCCCTTAGCTAACACAAACCTTCCAAAGAGCTACAGACCACCAGGCGCCTTGCAGACTCACGGCTGACTGAATGCGAGTCTGCACACGGGAGAACTCTTCAAAGCACGACCCAAGGATCTGGAGCCAGGATTTTCCAGTGAGTCTATGGCCCTATCACTGATTCTTCAGGGCGCTGGGATGCCAGTGTGATCTTCTCCATAAAGGCCCAGCAACGCTTTTTGGCAGAACTCATACGGATGGTGCCAGAGCCAGCGAATGAGCTCCTGCCAGGCTGCAAGATAGCTTACAGGCCCGTGCCCTCTTTCTTCCAAAGTATCCATACAATCAGATCTACGTTTCCAGGTGCATCGACTCACTAGTGCTGTCAGAATCCTGTTTTGAGGGCTGCTTATCCCGACACAGATATCTTCATAAATTCTCAGTCTCCATGTCATGTCCATTGTCTTGTCCATTTGATTCTCCAGTATTGGGGATACTATCCCAAGACCCTAAACCCTTACACAGTAGTTTCCATGTTTGCCTCCAGTGTCACTACAGGCAGATATAATTCAGCTACAGTCTAAACTCGTATCCCCCTCAATAATCTCTAAAATACTCCCCTATATACTCTCCTATATAAGCCCTACTACTCCCCTTTCTACTCTCCTATATAAGCGCCTCTAAGGAGCTTAGACTAATATTCTTCTGCTGTTCTTTGCTTTTAGCATCCTGGAGGTGTTGAAGAGGATGAAGCTAGGGCAGCTAGGGTTTAAGGTTTGGGGTGTGGTGTAGTGTAGGGTTTAGGGTTTAAGGTTTAGGGTGTAGGGTAAGGGGGAGATTAATGATAGAAAAGAAGATGAAACTACCGTAGTATTTACGGTCTAGGGTTCAGGGGGTAGGGCGGGCTGACCTACTCCACAGCCTGATTGTTGTAACCTGCAAGCCCTGCGTAGATTTGTTGAGAACATATTACTGAAATTTAGTGATGAAATGACCCCAACCAAAACCCAAAACCCAAAACTGTAAACCCTAAACCCTAAACTCTAAACCCTAAGCGCCAAAAAAACATACTCCACCTCCACAGCTAGTAGGAAGAACTTGGGGTGTAGTATGAGACCCTGGGCGCTCTTCACTCATCTGCTCTTTTTGGGTTTGTTATGGCTTTGTGGTGAGGGATTATAATCCACCACCAGAAAAGGAACTACATGAGGAATTATAAGACTCAATTACAGAGCCACTTTCAGAAAAGCAGCTGAGGATCGTCGTGAGGTTTGAGTCTACTGGTGTGCAGCTACTTGAGCCATAGTCTAAACTCCTAGTATCTCCCCTAATAACCCCTATAGTACTCCCCTATACAACCCCTTTGAGGACTTTAGACTATAGCTCACTTGGCAGGAAAGCTGGCATGTGCCAGACGCAGGGGCTGTAAACGCGGTGAATGGAATTTCTCAGTCCTCAGTCATCTTCGTCGGGCCCTTTTGCACAACTTCTCGGGACACCATGGCTGCTTGAATATTCTGTTTGGGGTCCAGCCACCCCTACCCTGCTCCACCCCTATCCAATTGCAAAGGATTCTAGGGGTTCCTGCCTACACATATACCACATATACATGCCCATTAGGCTAGGAAGAAAAACTAATCTTTCATGGGCATGTAAGGAAACAAATACCAGTAGCTTCAGCCCAGACATGACCCCAGGGCCCCTCAAGGCTGAAACTGCCATGGCCCAAGTGTTACAGCTGGATCCCTGCTTTAAGGTGGCCGTCTCCTGGATGAAGAGCGCGCTGTCGGGGTGCGACTTCATGTAGACGACCTAAATGTCGGCTAAGATTCATGTGCGACTAATCAACTAATGCCCCCAAACCGCAGAGAGATACGGATATAGGCTATAGGTCAGATTCATAGCTTCCTTCTGCAATTGCAGGATCGCACTACAGATTCTGTGGGTCGGCTCCGCCACACTGCCGTGCTATGCCATCCCTCGCCTCGCACGTGCTCTACACGGGAACGTCCTACCCAAGTGAACCATTCCAAGGCAAGCGTCTGATTCCCTAATCCTCAGGGTCCAAGTACCTAATAATCATATACTTACCCAACACCTGTACTATATTCCCTAATACCAAAACCCAAGTACCTATTTATTGGGTACTTGGACCCATAGCCTTGATCCTTCCAAGTCTTTGACAAAAGCCCCTGCAGTCCTTCCCAACGGATACCTCTTCCTGATTAGCTTCGGATCCCATTTGCATAGCACAGTGCTATATTAATCTAGTGCTAGAGTAAAATGGTATGAAACTGCAGTACCCAGAACAGTAGTAATGTACTACCATAGTACTATAGCACTCTATTAACATTATTTGAATGTAGTATAATGCAGCAGTTCACTCCGATGTTGATGCACTCGCCACCGAAGTCTCGGGTCAGAAGAAGCTCTGCCTGCCCAGGCGATATTTCTCCCTGGGGGGTGCGGGTCAAGATTTAGGTTTACTTTGGGTGCTGCCCCCACCCAGTAACAGTCTATATTTGGTGTCCTATTAAGGGCCATATATAACCATGTTATAATTAATATCCAACTGTTATTACTGAGTGGGGGCAGTACCCAAGGTTTACTTTGGGTGTAGAACTCCTATAGAGTTAAATCTTTCATATATTCAATGCTTATATATAGTATTCTCTTATTCCCTACTAACCCCCAGGCAGTTTGGGGTGTAGGGGGTGGGGACAGGATTTAGGATTGAGGGTTCACGAATCTAGGCTGGCTCAAGTGGGGCTTAAAGTCTGATGTCATGTTAGTGCCCGGGGATTAGTGTACGACGCTTGTCGGGATTCGAGGACCCCTTAAGGCAGATCAAATGAAGACACTGAGCAGATGGGGGGAGGGGTTTAGGGCTTGGATTCCCTAACGCACGACTTTGTTTCCCCCGCACAGTACATACTCGAGATCCGTATAGCGGATACGGATACACAGACCATACGGAATTCTGAATCATGAGCGGTTCTGGGACGCTTCATGAGCCGTATCTGTAAAGTTATCAACTGTCCTCCTGCCCTTATCAAACATCCTCTTCCCTCTGGCTAAATCAAAACTAGAGCCGACAGTTTGACAAAATGGAGGGGCATGTTTCTTCTTGATGCTAGACCCAAACATGGAAACACCGCTAACAACGAAATCACACATCTATGGAGAAAGAATCTCACGCCGTATTGGAATCCCAACTCATTACGAAAAGCAGAGCTTAGGTGGACCCCCACCCAGTAATAGTGACTATAGGGGATAATAAGGATGATATTCGTGTCCTCTTACATTCCTAGTATACCACTATTACAGGGTGGGGGGTCCTACCAAAAGCAGAGATGACAAAGTGCCTCTTCCGCATGGCGCAAGATGTGTGGCAGCGGATCCTGCGCTGAAAGTGTTAGGGCTCAGGGTTTGGGGGCTCCGCGGTTTCAGGCATATTATGGCATATTATTGTATATTATAGTATATTATGGTATTTTTTGGTATATTATGGTATATTGCCCCATGGGATATTAGGGGCTATATGTAGCGAGAACTGGAGCTTTGAATTAGGGATTTTTGGCAGCAATAGCAGAAGTTTCCGGGTGTCTGCATTTTGCCTGGGCGTGCTGCGACTAGTACGCCACAATGCCACCGTCCCCAAAAAGTGTCTGCAAGAACTACACTAGGATCTTTGCTGCTTTGCCACGACATCTACTAGAAAGATTGAACGGAAAGTTTGATTGATACCACACTCCGGGAGAAGCCAGTGTAGGAATATTGTAACGACAACGCGGGAGCGTCCCAATAGGCTCTGAACCCTAACTACCCCGATCTGATAAGTCCCCGTATCAGGCTCG